TAGGGTGGTTCAAAAAGGAAGGTGCACATCCTTCTGGATCCCTGAGCGGCATATTTAATGCAAAGATGGTTACTGTGGCATACTAACAAAAACACTTTTACAAATTGTTTATTTTATATTTAACTTACTGGACATTTACACTTCTATTCTGTAAATATAGCTGAACATTGTATATAATAGCACTATCATAAGTGAACAGGCTCTTTTACAATTTGTTAAAATGGTTTCATACAAGTTCGTTGTAATGGTTAATATGTCCCTACACAGTTCCAGTCTACAATAGGTGCCATGAACCCTTTTTGATGTAAGCCCAGACTTACAGAACTGGGCCCCGTTTCACAAAGCTGTTATAGTGCTACGACTGTAATACATCCTATACCGTAACATAGACTTACCACAAGACAATCATAGCTCTAGGATAGCTTTGTGAAACAGGGCCCTGAAACGAAGTTAAGGACCATCAGTTCTTCCAATGCCTATCATCTTATCTGTCATGGAACCATTCTTTCATATGACCATAATTAATCCGTCAAGGCATGACAGTGGAACACTAGTCATACGAAAGAATCGGGTCGTCCTCAATGTCTTGATGAGCCAGTGTGTCACCTGGGTGACGAGTCTCATCTTCCTGGGCCCGATAACATCGCAGCTGACCTTGTCCGAAACTCAATTACCAGGTACTTCCTGGATGCAGTGCACACTAATCTATCACTTGATACTTACCGCAACATCCTTATTACAAATTACGTTCTAGACAACTACTAATAAATGAAACATAATACAGCTAAAATATAATAATATAACAATAATTATAATATAATCATACACTTGAACAGAGAAGATAGGCAAGATGAGGGAGGGTGGGTTTGTCTGGAGTATAACAAGGCAAGACACTCCGTCTAAGTAAAGAACATTTAACAAATTAAGTAGGGAAGTTTATGAGAAAGTAATACAAAAGGGAACACTGTCCTGGGTTATATAACATGGAGAGGTGCTGTGTGTACAACAACCTATAGAATGAGCGCAGGTGGATTGAGAAACAGATGTTCACGGCTTTTGTTCAAGACACTCAACAGTTTATTATTTCACAATCACATGAGAATTAAGCAAAAACAGACCACTGAAAAACTAACTCTGTCAATATATGACAAAGCAAGGAAAAAACAATGCACTATTTTATTATTAGGGAACCATTCTCCAGTAACATCCCCTTGACTTTATGACCTTCTTGATGTTTGTGAACACTGAATGTAATACCTCAATGTGCCCCCAGGCCGACTTTCAATACTAACTAAAATTCATGTTAAAAATGAATTTTCTCCTTTCACTACAGGTTCTTTAAATTTCGCTGCAAACACCTGGTCACACCACTGATTTTCAGTGACCTATTCATATAATTTTCTCTGCTGTTTTGTCTTTTATGATCAGCAAAATCAGTTTGGCAGATAGTCAAAACTGATTGTTTTCTGGCATTGACCTTTATGAAATATTTTCCATACACATTAGTCATTGCAGAGGATATTGTCTGACATACACATTAACTGTTGGTGAACTAGTAAAACTGGGTTGTATTTTGGACTGTTTGGTTGGTTGTTTTCAAAATGTGGAATGTGTAGAGAAAAACAATTTTGTTCTCATTACTGACCATTTTGAATGCTGACAAAGATGTCCTTATAGTCGACAGACACAATGTAAGCTGACATATTTACTGGAGAACAATATTCTTTGATTATCAAATATAAATTACAATATATTAATTATCTTCATGACATAATACTTTTTTTCAGTTGTCCTTAAAGGTACCAATCATGACCTTTTGTCATCCCATTAAGCTGGTCACAGAATGCAAAGGTCAAATTAAAAAGTTGACCTGTGAGTGGAAAGAAGTTAACATAAATTATCAATTAATCACTAGAACAAATACGAGTACTGTAACATTGTATAACTGAAACATATACAAACATAAAAATATTTCAGTGATCTAGAACAGGACCTCAATCCACAAATCGATCTCAGCAACTGTTGTAGGTCTGTAGGTTGTAGGTTGTAATGGACTCACAATCACCTTTGCACTACGATTGCTTTGTGGAATGGAGCCCTGAACCGTAACTCTATCTCAATATCTGAGAATATTTTTCCCAAAATGAATTTCTTTCCAGTTTACATTCAACTTTTCTGTTCCAGCTCTATAAATATGGTGAGTTTGAGGCTAGATCTGAATTTGAGTCCAAGCATTGTCTTCTTTGGTCTGTAGCAATGAATGGCAGTTCTACCAGTTCAGTTTCTGGCAGAGACATCAAAAGCACTGACTGAGACACATACGGTGACCCTCTTTCCAAGAATGTTGAATCTCTTGTCGAAGAAGGTAATACTTTCCAATCCAAACAGCTCTTTATCACTTCAGTGGAATGCAACTTTTCTAAAAACACAAAACACCTAGACCAAAACATCAAACATTGTGTCACTAAAATAGACTTTAGTCAAGTGAATGCTTACTGAATAGTTTCATTTGTTTATTACACGTATCAACAAACATTGCACAACCTGGTACAGCAAATTTCTGAAGTATGCTTCCTCAAAATGCCTTGTTTTATTACATTTGCCCCAAAGTGGAGAAAAAGACGAATGTATCCCAATTAAAAATGGGACAAATCTGAAGATAAGAATTCGAAGATATTCCATCAACAAGGATCCCCATGACCAATACAAGTACCAAGGTTTGTTGAACAATATATGAAATGATTCATTCATTGGTAACAACCATTGGATAGTTTTAGTTTAGTTATTTAATCCTACATGTTAAATAATGTGTAATGTGAACAGCAGCAAGACTATGATTTCTCATTAAATAACAATAAATTATCATCACCAAACTCAACTAATACCAATGACTAACAGTGCATTAAAAACAAATATGAAATACGTCTCACAGAAGTTCAGAAACATCTGATTTTTCCATATTACAATAGTTAATATGTCAGGGCATAACAGACTAGCTATAGTCGTATGAGTGAGTAAGGTTTTATGCTGCTTTTAGCAATATTCCACCAATATCACGGCGGAGGACACCAGAAATGGGCTTCACACATTGTACCCATATGGGGAATCAAACCTGGAGCAAATTCTTTAACCACTAGGCTACACCACTGCCCCTATTATATGAATAAAATGGTGTGTTTTGCAACTTCTTCAGAGACCATACATCCACATCAACAAGGCAAGATTGTGTTCCTGTATTATATTATGACATGGTATTATAAACAGATGGTGGAAGCAATAAACTAAACATCCAATACTTCCATGCATAACACAGAATATAATACTGGTATCTGTTTATATGTTCTTAAAGCAACATAAACCAATGGAAGGATTTCAAAGAATAGACACTGGTATAGATAGAATGTATCATTGTTAGAAAAAGCCATGATGTACAGTGTACTTCTTAATAATCACACAAATTAAAACTGACATGAATCAGAAAATAATATATCAATGATTTTTAATATTCTTATTTGTCTGACCAAATTGTCTTGGATAATTAAGAAAGAAAGACAGAAAATACAGCTAAAATATTAATACAAAATTAGAAGTAATTATAGATGTTTTATGTAAAAATTGGTCAAATGAATGGGCAACTGCAATCTTGTGAATGAAAGAGAACAAAGTTTTCTCTGAGGTAAATTACTAAATACATGTATATATGCATGTGGTCACAAGCATCATCTCACAGAAGGCACATTTGGTACATCTGAGAGAAATATAGTTTGACTGCTACAGCAAAACATGACACAATCATCATCATCATCATCATCAATCAACAATAACATGCTAAAAAGTCTTACATCCTGTACAGAACATATGAGCTTGAAAGACACTACAAATTTACCATGAAAGTAAAATTTCTGTAAGTTTATGATAAGACAACGTCTCAAGAAATACATTCTGCTCACTTCACTCCAGTCTTCAATGAAAACTGATCAGTGAGGAAGGGGTCATTTTCATTGCCAGACCCTGTTCCACAGTGATCATAGTGCTAAGACAATGGTAATTGCCCATAACACAGAATTACAACATTAGCACTACAACCAGTGTGGAGAACAAGATCAAGGACACATTATTGTAACAGGGGGAACAACTCTACTACTTTAATCCAGACTAAGAAAGTCAACTGGTACATTTTAATCTGACTTATGACTTTTAACTAGTACAAATATTATGATAAAACTTTCCCTTATAGACTAATGTCATCGCTACAAAAGATAATGCCAACTGACCCCTTATACAAAATGCAGTACGAGGCCTCTGGGTAGATTGTCCAATAGTGTATATTCACAGTATTCATGCCTTACAGAACACAAGACTTAGCTTTAAGAGATACAAATGAAAAAAAAACAGATGCTGATGCCCTCAAGTATACTTCCCCTGGCTGAATGTACAACACCATCAGTTACAGTCTGATTGGGATCATGGAAGTGGATCAAATTTAGCTGTACATAGCAGTGAGTGAGTGGGTTTAATGACGCTCTGAACAGTATTCCAGTAATGTCATGGCATGTCATGTGGTGCCATGTATTACTGGGCCATCCATGCCATTTGATGCCTGTCATCTCCATCACATAGATAAAACATGGTAAAATTCTGCATGCCATTGGATATGACTTGTAGCATGCATGTGATTATTGCAGTGATGAGTCACGCTGTAACGAGTAATGAATCACGTGATACAAGACTGTCATTCAGTGAAGGTTTTGTGGAACTGTCCTTTGAATCAAACTGCCCATCATCGCCATCAGATAGATATAACATGGTAAAATTCTGCATGCCATTGGATATGACTTGTAGCATGCATGTGATTATTGCAGTGATGAGTCGCGCTGTAACGAGTAATGAATCACGTGATACAAGACTGTCATTCAGTGAAGGTTTTGTGGAACTGTCCTTTGAATCAAACTGCCCGTCATCGCCATCAGATAGATATTACATGGAATAATTGTGTGCCATTGGATACGACTTGTAGCAAGAAAGTGATTAATGCAGTGATGAGTTGTGCAGTAACGAGTAATAAATCATGTGATACAAGTCTGTCATTCAGTGAAGGTTTTGTGGAACGAGTGTGATTAGTGGCTGGACTATTGTTGCTGGACTAGTGATTAGCGGTATCCGTCTTATGTAAATGGTGTTTTCAATTGCTGGTGTATCGAGGAGTTATTGAACTGTTTAAAACATAAGGAAATTTGTCAGTGCATAATGAAAAAGACTATATGACAGATGTACCTATAGATATACAATGTTCTGGAAGTCTAATGAACACTCCGAACTTCTTTCTCATGTATGGTGTGTCCATTCCAGAGAGTGGAAGTCAATATTTATACTACAGAAAACTTTAAATATATTTCAATATAAAAGCAATTCTTTATGGCAGATTCTTGACTAGAGGATTTTCATTTTAGGTTCATCTTAAGACATGTTCAGTCTTTAAACAGTCATTTATCTGCTTAATAGACAGAATAGTTTCATTTTAAGTGACTGCTTAAAATTCATAGGTGTGTTGGAACCACAAACAAGCAAACAAAATGAAATGAGAGAACCACTTAGTGAGAACCCTATTAAGTGTCTATATAAAAAATAACATTGGTCCATTATTCTTGCGGTATATGAAGGGATAAGAGTAAAATGAATTCTATGTGGTTGATGTTGGCAGCGGTGGTAGTTGAGAGGATTCTGTGTATGACTGCATATAGATCTGTCCATCCATGGGATTACTGGGCGGAATCTGGAACCAAACAAGAAAAGTGTGAAACATGTATCCTGAGCATTGATGGTAGAATCGTCTTATCTAATGTTTGTTTGATTTGAAGTCTGACACCTCAATCCGTCAATCTGATGGTTACCTGGAAATAATGAAGTCAAATAATCAGAATGATTGGTACATTGTATTTCAATCTCACTGGATCCTGACATCATAAAGGGATGCAACTCTGTACAAAGAACTGATATATATTGCATCCATGGAGCTATTGTTACAGAAATGCTGGAAAACCTAGAATTGATAGGATTGATGAGTGAGTGAGATTAGTTTTACGCCACACTCAGCAATATTCCAGCTATATGGCGGCGGTCTGTAAATATTCGAATCTGGACCAGACAATCCAGTGATCAACAGCATGGGCATCGGTCTGCGCAATTGGGAACCAATGACATGTGTCAACCAAGTCAGCGAGCCTGACCACCCGATCCCGTTAGTCGCCTCTTTTACGACAAGCATGGGTTACTGAAGGTTCATTCTAACCCGGACCTTCACGGGTATAGTATTGATGAAAATGTCAGAACAGTTCTGTAGAGACCAGAGATTGGGTTATTTGTCCCAGAAGGACATGTAATAATGAGTGAGTAAGTATGGTTTTACACTGATTTCAGCAATATTCTAGCAATATCATGGCAGGGGACACCAGAAATGGGCTTCACACATTGTACCCATGTGTGGAATCAAACCAGGTCTTTGGTGTGATGAGAGAACACCACTTAAAATAAGTCAAGTCATATGCAAATTGTTTGATCAACATTCTAGAAGTTGGTGAGTCAATGATAAAATATACGACTTTATGGATAACAACTTCTTGTTCACTGCACAAAGCAACATTTTTGTGTAGATTCTTGCATCATTTTCAAGCTAAAAACGGTGTAAGAATCTACACAGAAACATCGCTCTATGAAATAAACAAGAAGTTGTTATTCATAAAGTCATATGCTTTATCATAAGTCATATGTAGCCAACCTATCATCAATATACATTTACCAAAATACTTTTTTTTGCAAAAGACAAGACTGACACACTGGACATGAGGCAAAATGACAGAAAAGTTTCCTGTCATATATGATTGCACTCCAGGAACGCTGTAGTGCTGCAACAGATTTCGCAGCAACTGATTTCTCATCTTTCAAGAAATAAGCCCAGGGGAAGCTGCGAGACTGTTATATATGGAACAACCAACTGTGTCATCAAGGTAGAGACAGCCGTACCAGCGTGTATGGTAATGGATCTGATGCCTCCTACAACATAACCTAGAACTGAGCAGTTCAAAGACCTCTATGATCAGTTGTGGGCTTCCTAAGGATTGTATTACAAATGATCCAGGAAATATGATTCGTAATCTCAGCAAAAATGTCATATGAGTCTTGAAGTAATTGTGGAATTTTTGGTTTTTTTATATATATAAGAAAGCAAGAGCAGATGATTTTTATATATGACATTTAGTAAATCTGGCATGACATATTCAGTTGTCAAATGAAAACATGGAGGATGAATAAGGATCAGTTATGGAGATGCACATGTTTTAAGAACTCAATGACTGGAGGTGCCCTACAGCCTCGAGGAGTGCCATACATCTCATGATCTGTGTACTTTTCCATCAATGTAGAGTGAGTGAGTATGGTTTTACACCATTTTCAAGCAATATTCCAGCAATATCAAGGCAGGGGACAGCTGACTGACTGACTGACTGAGTATGGTTTTACGCCGTTTCTAGCAATATTCCAACAATATCACAGCAGGGGACACCAGAAATGAGCTTCACAAATTGTGAGGAATCGAACCCAGGCCTTTGGCGTGACGAGTGAACACTCTAACCACTAGACTATACCACCACCCTGGGGATAGCAGAAATGGGCTTCTCACATTGTACCCACGTGGGGAATCGAATCCGGATCTTTGGCGTGATGAGCGGATGCTTTAACCACCAGGCTAAACCACCGCCCCCATGTAGAATGAAGATGATTAAATAGCAACAAGATATACTTAATGTGGAAAACGTCTTGAATTTGACTGTCCTGTTTGAAATTCAGTGAAATGACTTTAATGTTCAACCATTCCTACTCTATTGAAAAACATGCATCGTAATTTTTTTCTCCAAGATTAACCTTTGTATTCCTGAGTGACAACTTGGACATATAAATGAATACAATTTCACCTTCTAAAATAAGTATCATTAATTTCAGAGGCAAAAAACAAAGCAGTTTCTACAAATCTAAATTAAAACAATGTGATGCACCAATACCCTTGGCTGACAGCCAAAGAAACATCTATTATCAATTTTCTATATGCATGTACTAATGCATCCTTTGATCTCATCTTAACATATTAACAGTTCATTTATCTTGAACAATGGTTTACATGTATGACGCCTGTATTGTCCTTTAAAATGAACAGGATATAATGTCCCTATCTTATCCAAATAAACTGCATCTTGTTGGTTATTTTATCAATATTCTATTACATGCTGTTTGACAGGACAAGTTGTGTGAATTTGGTTGCAAGCTAGTCTGACTTATCTGAGCGTAGGATAACCTTTGTAACTCTTAATCATAGTCTCATACAGAAGACTTGGAACTAGAAAAAAACTGCAATTTTTGTGATAGTGCCAAAACACATTAATAACACCTTCATCTGCTTATACACTCTACCTCATGTAAATAAACACTGAGACTTGGTCAGATCTAATCTACTCCATAATTAAAGGACCATCGGCAAACCAGTTATCATCTGTATGTTGTCATGGACTGAATTACTGTAAGCATGCTCTTCCATTCTCATTCCTATCATCACCAGAAGAAGAAAAGAAGAAGAATCAGAAGAAGAAGCACCAAAAGGATCAGGATCAGGAAGAGAATAAGGATCAGAAGAGGAAGGATCATGGGAAGAAGGATCAGGAAAAGAAGTATCAGGAGAATGAGGATCAGGAGAAGAGGTATCAGGAGAATGAGGATCAGGAGAAGAAGTATCAGGAGAAGAAGTATCAGGAGAATGAGGATCATGGGAAGAAGGATCAGGAGAATGAGGATCAGGAGAAGAAGTATCAGGAGAATAAGGATCAGGAGAAGAAGTATCAGGAGAATGAGGATCAGGAGAAGAAGTATCAGGAGAAGAAGTATCAGGAGAATGAGGATCATGGGAAGAAGGATCAGGAGAATGAGGATCAGGGGAATGAGGATCAGGAGAATGAGGATCAGGAGAATGAGGATCATGAGAATGAGGATCAGGAGAAGAAGTATCAGGAGAATGAGGATCAGGAGAAGAAGTGTCAGGAGAAGGAGGATCAGGGGAAGAAGTGTCAGGAGAATGAGGATCATGAGAAGAGGTATCATGAGAATGAGGATCAGGGGAAGAAGTGTCAGGAGAATGAGGATCATGAGAAGAGGTATCATGAGAATGAGGATCAGGGGAAGAAGTATCAGGAGAAGAGGTATCAGGAGAAGAAGTATCAGGAGAATAAGGATCATGGGAAGAAAAAGGATCAGAAGAAGTATCAGGAGAAGAAGTATCAGGAGAAGAGGTATCAGGAGGACAAGGATCAGGAGAAGATGTATCAGGAGAAGAAGTATCAGGAGAATGAGGATCAGGGGAAAAAGTGTCAGGAGAATGAGGATCAGGAGAATGAGGAAGAGGTATCAGGAGAAGAAGAAGTGTCAGGAGAATGAGGATCAGGAGAAGAGGTATCAGGAGAAGAGGTATCAGGAGAATAAGGATCATGGGAGAAAAAGGATCAGGAGAAGAAGGGATCAGGAGAAGGATCAGGAGAACGTCACATCAGAAGAAATATCAGGGAGGAAGGAGAAGAAGTATCAGGAGAAGGATCATGGGAAGAAAAAAGGATCAGGAGAAGAAGTATCAGGAGAAGAGGTATCAGGAGAAGAAGTATCAAGAGAATAAAGATCATGGGAAGAAAAAGGATCAGGAGAAGAAGTATCAGGAGAAGAGTGAGTGAGTTAATATTTAACGTCACATCAGGAGAAGAAGTATCAGGAGAAGAGGTATCAGGAGAAGAAGTATCAGGAGAAGAGGTATCAGGAGAATGAGAATCAGGAGAAAAAACATCAAAAGTAGTATCAGAAGCCGAAGAAGTGTCAGAAGAAAAGATGTAATACAAGGAGAATCATCAGTGAAAGATAATTTTTCTCCAACTAATGTCTCAGTGTGGGACGCAAGTGGCTTCCTACTGACGTGAAGAATCTTACCATTCCACCATTCTGTTTCAAATGATCAAATTCATTGCCCAAAGGTTGTCAAATGAATGCAATATTGGGGGTTGGGGGAAGATGGAGAGCAGGACACCTGTGAATGGATGAATTTATGCTGTTCACTTTTGAGAATTGCATTAAAAACTGGCTTCAAAATTATGTAATTTTCTTGAAACAAAACTGAATAAAAATCACAGAAATTGGAATACTGCTCTGTGAAATTCAGTCTAACCATCTTTCAGTACTACTAGTATAACTGACACTTGAAGTGTATCAACAGAACTAGAGTGGCAAGATGTCAAAACATGTTAAAGCATGTTACCCCTTGGATTGTTTTGTCTGGCAACAGCACTGGTGAGTGAGTGAGTGAGTGAGTGAGTGAGTGAGTGAGTGAGTGAGTGAGTGAGTGAGTGAGTGAGTGAGTGAGTGAGTGAGTGAGTGAGTGAGTGAGTGAGTGAGTGAGTGAGTGAGTGAGTGAGTGAGTGAGTGAGTGAGTGAGTGAGTGAGTGAAGTTTTACGCCGCTTCTACCAATATTCCAGCAATATCACGATGGGGGACACCAGAAACTGGGTACTATAAACCTTGTATACCCAAGAAATCTTATTGTGTTATAACTTGTTGGATATATAAATAATTTGACGAGGCAGTGGGTCATAATGATTTTACAAAACAAGTGTCAGAATTCTTGTATTTTGAATTTATGAGTGGAGTGTTCTGATTCTGAAAACAGGCATTTTACTCATAAAAATATCATAATTTCATATTTTGTAGCAAATTTGCAACAAATACCAATATTCTCTGACAGTAAGAAGCTTTGGAGTGAGTGAATATGGTTTTACACCATTCTTTGCAATATGCCAGGAGTATTAAGGTGGGGATTACCAGAAATGGGATTCACACATTGCACCCATGTTGGGAAGAGAACCTTCTTCAGCATGATAAGCGAACGCTTTGACCACTAGGCTACCCCACCGCCCTAGCAGCTATGGAAAACAGTTATCACTAATGTTTTCAAGCATGAGAAAGTTGGAGTCAAATAATCAGCATTGTAGTTGCATACATATGCAAACATATAGGATGGCTGGATACAATGTGTGACTTGTAAGTCATTGAACACCACAAAATGACGTGGTTTGATTATCATGCTATCGACCGCTGGTTTGCCAGGCATATTATAGCAGACGGCCTATCAAACAATTTATACAAAATTGTATCATACTATATGGTTACTTTAAATGTGCTATGTAACTGTAAAGGTGAGCATATCTTTATTAAAGACTCTGATCTGTGACCCAGCAGCTTTAAGAAGGCTTGCTGTGTCGCTGCCATGTGCGCTGAGAAGGAAGGTATTTATGATAGTGTTAAAATGTCTTGATCAAACTGGCAAGATCAGGCGAACACTTTTCATCTGTTTACTGGCCCAATTCCAACCAACCCCTCTCTCTGGCACACATGCTATTGCTTTTTAAATTCAGGAATTGTCTGGGACACAAGAGTTTTTGGCAGTCTTAGACCATGATGACTAAGGCATAGGTTTCTGGTGAGCGTTAAGCACAAGCTTTTGTAGCTTCTGTGAAGCCGTTACATTCATTTCTGTTGAAATTCTAAAGTTGAAATTGTTGAAACATGTTGAAATTGAAGAACATGTTAGCTACAAATACCTCAATATAACCAATGATTTCTGATAACGGGTACCAACTCATATTCCGTACAGTCCACTTTCTGATATCCAAACCTGTAGCTTCCACTTTCTGATATCATAACCCTGTAGCCTCCACTTTCTGGTATCATAACCCTGTAGCTTCCACTTTCTCATATCATAACATGTACCCTCCACTTTCTGATATCATAACCTGTAGCTTCCACTTTCTGGTATCATAACCCTGTAGCTTCCACTTTCTGGTATCATAACCTGTACCCTCCACTTTCTGATATCATAACCCGTAGCCTCCACTTTCTGATATCATAACCTGTAGCTTCAACTTTCTGGTATCATAACCTGTACCCTCCACTTTCTGATATCATAACCTATAGCTTCCACTTTCTGATATCATAACCTGTACCCTCCACTTTCTGATATCATAACCTATAGCCTCCACTTTCTGGTATCATAACCTGTACCCTCCACTTTCTGATATCATAACCTGTACCCTCCACTTTCTGATATCATAACCTATAGCCTCCACTTACTGATATCATAACCTGTACCCTCCACTTTCTGATATCATAACCTGTACCCTCCACTTTCTGATATCATAACCTATAGCCTCCACTTACTGATATCATAACCTGTACATTCCACTTTCTGATATCATAACCTGTACCCTCCACTTTCTGATATCAAAACTTGTAACCTCCACTTTTTATGATATCATAACCTGTAGATTCCACTTTCTGATATCATAACCTGTAGCCTCTACTTTCTGATATCATACCCTGTACTCTCCACTTTCTACTATCAAAACCTGTAGCTTCCACTTTCTGATATCATAACCTGTACCCTCCACTTTCTGATATCATAACCTGTACCCTCCACTTTCTGATAGCAAAACCTGTACCCTCCACTTTCTGATATCATAACCTGTACCCTCCATTTCCTGATATCATAACCTGTAGCTTCCACTTTCTGATATAATCTGAAGCCTCCACTTTCTGATATCATAACCTGTAGCCTCCACTTTCTGATATCATAACCTGTACCCTCCACTTTCTGATATCAAAACCTATAGCCTCCACTTTCTCATATCATAACCTGTAGATTCCACTTTCTGATATCATAACCTGTAGCCTCCACTTTCTGATACCAAACCTGAAGCCTCCGCTTTCTGGTATCATACAACAAATTACATGAAAGGTTGGTAAGAAATCATGACGTGAAATGTCACAATATGTTAATAATTTTACTGAGCCAATAAAAAACCCATCAGTCTCCAGAGGTTTCATCTACAATGTCTTACTGGGTTTTACTGATTTATCAATGTTACTGATATTTATGCCATTTTGTTTAATTTTAAACTGATAAAACTGGTTCAAATGATATTTGTCAGGAATATCTGATCACTAGGTAAATTTTTACAGAGGCTCTGAAGGGTAAATGAAAAGACTGAAGTACTCAAGTCTCCAAACCCTATTCGAATGTCTCTATCCAAGTTCAATGTACAGGTTGATACACCACACATTTAAAAATGTGTCATTTCTTAGCATCAACTTGAACGACACATTTTCCAAACACTTCTGTTTCTCTTCCCTGTCTTCAACGTACGTGTCAAAGATGTAGTACCTGCCCTGGGCAAGTACCCCATAACGTTGTGCTCTATCTCCACCCACGGCCACACCCCATGATATGGCTACACTGATCACGTGACAGTTGCAAAGAAAGTCCGACATTATATTTATTTGGGCATGATGGGACCATTGTTTCGCAACGCAGATCTACAGTTGCACCCCTTGTGCACACCAGGATCCTATGACCATGGGTTAAAATCCTAGTTCACCCCTAATCTATTTTTAGTTTTGTCAGAACCATATCCCTCTGATTTCACTGACGTGGTAAATGTCTGTCAGCAGAATTCCTCTAACATTAAGCTGAACTGACTCAAGCTATGGCAGCAATATGGCTAAAAGTGGTGTTAAACCCAACTCACTCACTCACTCACATTGTTGTGACAGTGTTAGGAAGTCTTCTACATTAGCTGTCAAATACCTGCCTCTAATTTACACTTTAACAATCTCGCAGTCAGCTTCCCATAAATCATCCTAAAAACACAAACACTGTTATGTTATAATTGTAAAATTAGTTGAAGGACTGCCTTACAAAGTTGAAGGAGAATTGGCAATGCTCTATGCTACTTTCCATAAAACTGAGACTGTAATATTCCATGAGCTCCTCAAAGGGAGGAGGCAACATTACGAGCCCATCAACCTTCTTGCACATGCCCATCATAGGGTGAATGAACTTCAACACATACCACCGTGTCTCATTTTAACCCCTTTGAACAGTTCCCATTGATACCATAACACAAATACCATGTGAAAAGAAACAAAGTTGATCTGAATAATCAAGCCCGATAACGTATAAACCCTGATTCAGAACCCCCACAAACACAGTGAGATCTACACATTATTACACAGCATCCTTCATGTAGATTTTACACTACCAATACACAGAAAGGTCAAACCAGCTTTTTCCGTACATGAACACTATACAGCCTGTTCTGAATTGAGATTAAAGTCTTGTGTGCGTGATTCGTCTTTCTATTCTACATGGTAACGCAAACTGCTGATACAGCACATTCCTTCAGAGGTCATTTAGCATACCTGGGCCAGGATCTGTGATTGTATCGCCAGCTCTAGGGCCAGTGTTCACCTTAGCTCTCACTCTCACCCACCCTGGGCGGGGCAGCTAGAAGTTCTTGTTGGTCTAAGGTTACTCTTGATTATACAAGAGTCTGTGTTAAATTGAGCTTTACAAATGTATAGTGTCATGGTTACATGTAGAATGTGTGGCATGTGATGGAGACAGCACAGGTAACTCACATCAAAGATAAAGCTGGGTTAGTTCAGTGCACACAGGTAAATGAGGAATCTCGTTAACATTTGATAAAAGGGACATTCATCAAAACAATCTAAACTTTAATCAGAAAAATTAGTTATTGTAATGAGTGAGTGGGTGAGTATGGTTTTCTGCTGCTTTTAGCAATATTCCAGCAATATCATGGCGGGGGACACCAGAAATGGGCTTCACACATTGTACCCATGTGGGGCATTGAACCCGGTCTTCGACGCTTTAACCACTAGGCTACCCCATCATCCCTATATTGTAATGAACTTACATTTAATAGTGTGTATTAGTTTCACTTTACAATGTCTGCTACTGAATGGATAGTACTACAGCAAAAAAGGAAGAAATAAAGGATCAGTAGATAGAATAGTTTGAAATCTTCAATGCAGATAGCTGGAATCTGCATAGTTGGCATGTAGATAGCTGGAATCTGCATAGTTGGCATGTAGATAGCTAGAATCTGCATAGTTGGCATGTAGATAGCTGGAATCTGCATAGTTGGCATGTAAATAGCTGGAAACTAGAATCTGCATAGTTGGCATATAGACAGCTAGAATCATGCATCTGCATAGCTAGAATCCGCATAGTTGGCATATGGAGTTGGCATGTAGATAGCTAGAATCTGCATAGTTGGCATGTAGATAGCTAGAATCTGCATAGTTGGCATGTAGATAGCTAGAATCTGCATAGTTGGCATGTAGATAGCTAGAATCTGCATAGTTGGCATGTAGATAGCTAGAATCTGCATAGTTGGCATATAGATAGCTAGAATCTGCATAGTTGGCATGTAGATAGCTGGAATCTGCATAGTTGGCATGTAGATAGCTAGAATCTGCATAGTTGGCATGTAGATAGCTAGAATCTGCATAGTTGGCATGTAGATAGCTGGAATCTGCATAGTTGGCATGTAGATAGCTGGAATCTGCATAGTTGACATGTGGACAGCTGGAATCTGTTGGCATGTAGATAGCTGGAATCTGCATAGTTGGCATGTAGATAGCTGGAATCTGCATAGTTGGCATGTAGACAGCTGAATCTGAATCTGCATAGTAGCTGGCATAGTTGGCATGTAGATAGCTGGAATCTGCATAGTTGGCATGTAGATAGCTAGAATCTGCATAGTTGGCATGTAGATAGCTGGAATCTGCATAGTTGGCTGTAGATAGCTGGAATCTGCATAGTTGGCATGTAGATAGCTAGAATCTGCATAGTTGGCATGTAGATAGCTGGAATCTGCATAGTTGGCATGTAGATAGCTGGAATCTGCATAGTTGGCATGTAGATAGCTGGAATCTGCATAGTTGGCATGTAGATAGCTAGAATCTGCATAGTTGGCATGTAGATAGCTGGAATCTGCATGCATAGTTGGCATAGTTGTGGATAGCTAGAATCTGCATAGTTGGCATGTAGATAGCTGGAATCTGCATAGTTGGCATGTAGATAGCTGGAATCTGCATAGTTGGCATGTAGATAGCTGGAATCTGCATAGTTGGCATGTAGATAGCTGGAATCTGCATAGTTGGCATGTAGATAGCTGGAATCTGCATAGTTGGCATGTAGATAGCTGGAATCTGCATAGTTGGCATGTAGATAGCTGGAATCTGCATAGTTGGCATGTGGACAGCTGGAATCTGTATAATTGGTATGTAGATAGCTGGAATCTGCATAGTTGGCATGTGGACAGCTGGAATCTGTATAATTGGTATCTGCATAACTAGAACTGGAAAAGCTAGAATCTGCATAATTAATATCTGGACTGCTAGAATCTGCATAATTAATATCTGGACTGCATAATTAATAGAATTCGGTTAACTTGAATCTAGATCACTAGAATCTCGATAAACTTAGATAAACGGAAACAGGATGACTGGAATACGCATCAGTAGAATAACAAAGACCTCCTTGAGAGCCCCTCATTGGTCAAGCTAACACTGTCCTGTTAAAAAAAGGCCTGCGATTCATATGTCTCAATGCTGATGGAATAATGACAGTGTTAAATTGACCACCAGTTAACCAAAATACTTTCTTCTGACACTGCTTAATGATATATATGGTTATTTGACAAAACATTTTGACATTAATTCTTGTGAAATAAAGAAATCGTACATTCTGTCTGGGCAGATTAATGTAAAAAGGGAAGGTTTCACTTGTTTTTCATGTGCAATATTTCAGGGTTTCTGAATGACAAGACAATGACAGACATCCGATTAATTTCAGTTCATTATAAAATTTCTTAGCAAAAACCTCCCTTAACCCTACTTCAGTATGGCTAGGATGTTGAATCTCACCTGTGATTCACAAAGCAAGAATGTTACTAATGTATTGTTATTGTGGGAGGTTTACTGCCTGATTGTATGCTATGATAGAGAACCCACTAATGCATAACCATTGTACTATTCTTAATGGGGAATTATGGACGAATACACTACACCTTATCTGTCTCGCTCTTGTGCATATTCTAGATGGTGGGATTTCTCACCGCCTGAACATGATGGGGTGATAATATCTTCCACAAAACATCCAGTCAACCAGGCACTTGTAGTTAGGCTTTAATGGAAAATAATCAACAAGTATGTCTGTAGACCTCTTGCTTTAACCACACACATATTGGCAATTTAAGTCAATAGAAAACTGTAACAAATGATTCATTTTAGTTGAATCGATCTGATAGGACTATTCTTGGACTTTTCTGAAAACTGTGGTCATATTCAATTGAAAGTTACAATCTGTAACATTTATTTAAGACGTCAGTATATCAGATGAATTGAGAAGTATTTTAGCTCTGGTTGACAAACATAATAATTTAATAATATATTTGACACTATAAGCTCCTTACCTTTTGTCATTATCATCTACTATGATATCAGAGTTCAAAGCTGTCTTTACACTAGTGTATTCTTGCAAAATGTCCAGTAAAATCAGAATATCAAGTATTACCTGAACATCAAGCAATAATTACGACAGACATCTGATTAATTTCAGTATCTGAATATAGTAAAGTTGAATCTTCTTATAACATACCTGCTATGGAGGAATTTAGCAATATTTCAGCAATATCACAGCGGGGACACCAGAAATGGGCTTCACACACCTGACTATTGTACCCATGTGAGGAATCGAACCCAGGTTTTCAGTGTGATGAGCTTAATGCTTTAACCACTAGGCTACCCCACAACCCCTCTGAATAAAGAGGAGGAATGTGTATATCATAATATCAAGTAGTATCAGAATATCAGTTAGTGAATGTGAGTGAGTTTAGTTTTATGACGCACTCTGCACTATTCCAGCTATATGTTGGTGGTCAAGTAGGTAAATAATCGAGTCTGGACCAGACAATCCAGTGATCAACAGCATGAGCATCGATCTACACAATTAGGATCTTATACGATGACATGTGTCAACCAAGTCAGCGAGTCTGACCACCTGATGCCGTTATAATATACCTGACTATGGAGGAATGTCTGTATATCAAGTAGATATCAAGTAGAATCTTATAATACCTCGACCATGAGACAAGCATGGGTTGCTCAAGATCAATTCTAACCTGGATCTTCACTGAAGATCAATTCCTTATAATATACCTGACTATGGAGTCCAGAATATTAGGTAGAAACATAATTCTGAATATAGTGTTATGTCTGTATGTCAGGGGTTATCTGAATGGCCCTATGGAGGAATGTTGCCAAAATAACAGTAACAAAGATTACATAATATCAGTCTTCCAGTCAATAGTGTTGCTGTTCCTTACCAAACAAACCTATTATTACACAAGAAATGGGCATCACACATTGTACCCAAACACTTTAACCACTAGGCTACCCCATCGAAGAAGCAGCCTTCCCCAAACATTCTACCATGTGGGAATAGAACAGATGAAAAGTCAAATTGGGAACAGTAATGACGTTATTATTCTAAACTGTCAAAAAAAAAATGAGATATTGTCCCAAAATAGTTTTATAGCTGTATGTCTTCTTTTTATGAAATGTCTATATTTTCTATAATTCTGAGAAATTGAGATATTTTTAATTCAGATTGGGAATTTAATTTCAAAGGCATTTGCTATAGACTTTGGGGCTGAATATTGGGCCCCCAACAAGTCTAGAGAGATCCCTGCCTGTACATCAATTAAGCTTTAAAGACAACTGCAGGTGAACAACATATTTGTCTTTTAAATCAGGAATACCATGTCTACACTGCTGCACTCTAACGACCTCAGACACAGGGTTTTACATCATGCATTATCTGACACATCAACCTCCATGTGCGTACCACATACCTCTTCTCATGGGTAAACACACACTGACAACATGATATACAGCCTTAGCATTTTCTGTCCCATGTACACCGAGAAACACTTTCATACTTGAAAGGCAAAGGTGTGACAAGGTTCATATCAGATTAACATGTATGAAGTCTTTTATTATGCAATACATTTCTATCGTCTAAAATTAAAACACATTTTTTAGCTTACCCAGATGGATTGGAGCTGCTAGACATGCATTTGAATAGATCGAAATTAGTTTCATTTTATTATACCGTTGTGCCGAGCTTGATTCTTGAAACTTCACATCTCAAAGTAAAATTGGTCCCATTGTATGCTTTCTTTATTCATTATATTTCGGTTGTAGAAAACCCTAGATAGCATTTACCAAAGTCATCTCAACTTCAACACAATAGTGTCTGACCGGATATTCCTAAGTCATAGTGCAAGCCAAGGTATACATGTAAAGAATGAGTGAGTGAGTTTTAGCAATATTCCAGCAATATCATGGTGGGGGGACACCAGAATGGGCTTTACACATTGTACCCATGTGGGAATCGAACCCGTGTCTTTGGCGTGCCACCGTCCTGGCCCATACATATGAAGAGTACAACAACCATGATCATGTCATGTCTAGGTGAGTTGAGGTGAAATTGGGTTTAATGTTGTGCTTGAGAATATTTCGCTCATATGACGACGTGCATGCATGTGTATGTGTATGTGCGGCTGCTTGTACTAGCCCAGACTTAAGCTGGTTTTATAGTGCTAGCCCACTGAGATACCATGCCGCAGTGAAGCATGAATACCCCACTCAGACACAGTATACTGACTCCGAGCCGACCAGTCCTTGTTGTACCCATTTATGCCGAACGCCAGGCAGGGACCAACAAGTACCATATTTTAACGTCTTTTGAGTATGACGCGGTCGGGTATCGAACCAGTGACCTTCCGCTCTCCGGGCGGACACTCTAACCACTACACCACGGAGGTGGTCATGTCATGTCTAGATCTTATCGAGATTCCATACCTGTTTCAGTTTGTTAGCTTGTGTGTGGTTAAGCATTTTTTTTTCTAATTTAGGTGTTTTCAAAATGCTTATATTTCAACAGTACTGTGTGAACTACAGTAGGTCACCATGCTCCTGTGGAGGTAAAACCCTGTAGGGGATCCGGGTTATGATAGGTCCCTAGCACTCTACTGCCTGGCGTAAGATGAGAAAAATTTGATAGATTGGTTAGACTTGGTTGATTATGTGTCACTGAGTACTTGTGAAAGTGGGATATTGTTCATTACGTCAATCACTGGTTTGTCTGGCTCAGATTAGATTAAGTCCAGGCCACTATGACATCCAGTAACATATTCAGCCAGCCATGCTTTCTTCATATTTGTTGTTTAATATCAAACTGAGCAATATTTCAGTTTTCCCACAATGGCCTTTAAATAAATGAACAGACATTTCAATGATTGACAGTGCTAGAAACTGTACTTTTTAAGAAGTGAAATCCCAAATATAAGATGTGTTACATTTGACCACTTGGTAGTGTGTATTCATGAGTGAAAGAGTGCGTATGGTTTTATGTGACTTTTAGCAATATTCTAGCAATATCACGTCGGTGGAGACCAGAAATGGGCTTAATACACTGTACCCATGTGGGGAATTGAACCCGGGGTTTCGGCGTGACGAGCGGAGCGAGCACTTTAACCACTTGGCTACCCTACCACCCCGTGTGTATATTCATGAAACTTTGAGTTGCAGAGTGACCACAGAAACAACTTACTTCCTAACCTATATTTTCTGTGTGAGAAATGTCAGTGCATTTCACATTGAACAAAGATCATAGCTAATCATCAAAGGTGTAGATGTGGGCACATTATGTAAAGTCACTATGAAAATATGGTTGCCCGCTCAATACATTTTCTTTCTACTTTTTTGCTCCTTGTATGAAAATGTGTCTTTTCTCTATTAAAACGTACCTATTCTCCACTAAGACATACCTGTTCCCCATTAAAAGGTACCTGTTCTCCATGAAAACGGACCTGTTCTGTATGAAAACGTATTTGTTCTGTATGTAAACATGTCTGTTCTCTATGAAAATGTAACATAGTTCTGTAATGTCACAATGCAAAAAAGCGCAACATACCACATGACATGTGAGTCATAAAAATTGAAATTGTTATCATGTTGGTTTTCAGACATGAAAACACAATTAAGGGTTGTTAAAAAACGTTCTAAACAAAGCAAGATATTTTAAAAGCTACTACTCATCATTCTTCAGCAAGTCTTCAAAACTGGTTCACCTTGCCAGTATTTCAGGCTCATAACATCTCACAGTTTAATCCATGCATTTTTAAAACTTATTAGTAATTTAATTTGACACAAAAAACACACCGGCGAAACACAAGGGATAATATTTCTGTAGTGTAAAATGAGATTAAAACCATGAAAGATAATGACAGAAAAGAGAAAAATGCCACAATCACTGATGTGCCAGTGACATTTACTGCAGCTGAGATAGCTGAGGACTCTGGTAGAGGATGTATGACAATAGACGCCGGACTCGTCTCTAGTGTAGGTGGAGGAGTAGGCAGACCTTAATATAATATTGTGCAATATATATACAACAAGGAAGTTACTTAAAACTGTGTGGGGAATAGAATTATGACAACCTTTCTCGAGATTTTAATTTGTGTTATCAATCACAATTTTAATGATTTGATATTTCTAACATTTCATCAAGTATTGGAGTGAGGGGAGACAAGAGTGGGGAGAAGGGATGGGGAAGGAATGAAAGTGGTGAAGAAAATAGTGGGAAGGAAACAGGAGGGGGGAAAGAGAGTGGAGGATATCGGGGGGGGGGACGGACTGACCAGACAGGAGAGAAGACAAGGAAGAGAGGGAGAGAAGAGGGAAAGGAAAGAGAGGGAAGGAATGAGCGATGGGAGTGATGAGAAAGATGAAGTTGAAGGCGATGAGTGGAGAAGCAAGGAGAGAAAAGGAAGTGAAGGAACAAAAGGAAGGAAGAGAGAAGGAGCGAGTGAGTTTAGTTTTATGCTGCTTTTAGCAATATTACACCAGAAATGGGCATCACACATTGTGCCCATGTGGGGAATTGAACCCGGGTCTTTGGCGTGACAAGTGAACATTTTAACCACTAGGCCAACCCACCGCCAGAAGACAAGGAGAGAGGAGAGGTGGTGAGGTGAAATGGCGTTTAACGTCATACTTGAGAATATTTCGCTCATATGACGACGTGCATGCGTGTGTATGTGCGGCTGCTTGTACTAGCCCAGACTTAAGCTGGTTTAATAGTGCTAGCCCACTGAGATACCATGCCGCAGTTAAGCATGAATACCCCATTCAGACACATTATACTGACTCTGAGCCGACCAGTCCTTGTTGTACCCATTAATGCTGAGCATCAGGCAGGGACCAACAAATACCAAATTTTAACGTCTTTTGGTATGATGCGGCTGGGGATCGAACCCGCGACCTTCCGCTCTGCGATAGGACACTCTAACCACTACACCACGGAGGCGGTCGAAAACGAGACAGAGGGGAGAGGGGGTAAGAAAAGTAGGTGACAGAGAGAAAAACACAGGTGAGGTCATGGTACACTGTATTTCATAGTACAGAATCTTGTTATTGTTCTGCAGGTTTAGACACGTACATACTAGTATGTAAATCCAAACTAGTAGAAAGCTAATAGGTCTAGCTGTTTTCTCAAAAAATGTAGTTATTTTACAGAAACCACCATTGCAAAATGAACTGTGGTCTAGTTGTATATGACCAAAGGTTTCGACCCATGTCCTCGTCTTTTACATAAGCCACCAAAAATGAGCTGCAGACCAGGGTGCCGTTGTTCAAAACAACCTTAGCGCTAAGGCTACCTTAAGTCAGTATTAAAGTATGGGAGTTACGGTCACCTTAGTGCTAAGGCTACCTTAAGTCAGTATTAAAGTATGGGAGTTACGGTCACCTTAGTGCTAAGGCTACCTTAAGTCAGTATTAAAGTATGGGAGTTACGGTCACCTTAGCGCTAAGGCTACCTTAAGTCAGTATTAAAGTATGGGAGATTCACGGTCACCTTAGTGCTAAGGCTACCTTAAGTCAGTATTAAAGTATGGGAGTTACGGTCACCTTAGCGCTAAGGCTACCTTAAGTCAGTATTAAAGTATGGGAGTTACGGTCACCTTAGTGCTAAGGCTACCTTAAGTCAGTATTAAAGTATGGGAGTTACGGTCACCTTAGTGCTAAGATGGCTTTGTACAACGGCACCCAGTTGTATATGACCAAAGGTGTCGACCCATGTCCTGTAGTATTCTACATAAGCCACCAGTCCAAACAGAGCTGTGGACTAGTTGTACATGACCAAAAGTCCTGTTTCTTACCGTGCTCAGTGACCCTGATTCAGCCAAGTCCCACATCTAATGACATCATCACCACAAATCCAAGGATAGCACCCCAGGAAGCTACTTTGCCATTGCCACTAAAAACAAACAAACATAATGTGGAAATAAAACCATTTAGAACCAATAAAACAAACATTTAGTGCCAATAAAACAAACATTTAGTGCCAATAAAACAAATCGTAAATCATGGGACATGTCTGTTTATGCAATATTAACAATATCAACATATATAATATATACTATCCAACAAGTTCAATATCAGTCGTGATAATCCTGGTCATGTCTGTTGTATATTTACATTAAACACCTGCAGACAATGATGATAATCCTGGTCATGTCTGTTGTATATTTACATTAAACACCTGCAGACAATGATGATAATCCTGGTCATGTCTGTTGTATATTTACATTAAACACCTGCAGACAATGATGATAATCCTGGTCATGTCTGTTGTATATTTACATTAAACACCTGCAGACAATGATGATAATCCTGGTCATGTCTGTTGTATATTTACATTAAACACCTGCAGACAATGATGATAATCCTGGTCATGTCTGTTGTATATTTACATTAAACACCTGCAGACAATGATGATAATCATGTGTATTGATTGCAGATTTAGAAGGTTCTTGTCACCTGAATTTCATGTTGGCCTGTGAGGAAACATATTGTTCCAGATAGTATTATGAGTGAGTGAGTGAGTGAGTGAGTGAGTTGGTTTCATGCTGTTGTGATATTTAAACATGCCCAACAATGTGAGCAAGGCTCACCAATACCCCTGATCGTGACGCCCAACCAGCTCAACAACAATTAATAATAATTATTCTGGACAAAAATATCAAACTTTGCACCGCACCTTTCCTATAAACAAAGAATCACTCAATTTAAAAAACATCAATTAAATGATTTCGGTATAGGTTCTTATACCGTTTTCAAGCATATGGGGGAATGATGGGGTACACCAGTTTATATACAAGATAAGATAATGCGATAAGATAAGATAATCTTATGTTATTTGTATATAAACTGGTGTACCCCATCATTCCCCCATATGCTTGAAAACGGTATAAGAACCTATACCGAAACGTCGCCATTGTCAAAATAAAGAAGTTGATCATCCATAAAGTTGTGTCATCTCTATACCAGCAACTTCTAAAATGCCACTCAAACAAAAAAAAGTTATTGAATGAACAAATTTGATGTGGGACTTTTTCACTGAGTTCATAAGACATAATTTGTGATGTTTGCAACTAACATGCATGCATCGAATCTCAGTTGTGTAGACCGATGCTAAAAATGCCAGTCATTGGATTGTCTGCTCCATGCTGGACAATTTCCAGACCGCCATCATATAACTTGAATATTGTTGAGTGTGGCATAAATAGACAAAACCCCAACCATTCCACGCTAAAACAAACAAAAGGTCAAGTGTTAACACCATGGAGAAACCAACCCTAATCAAATTATATCATACAAGCAATTTACCATAGGAAATAGACGTCTAAAAGGCCTATAAAAATGCAAGCTTTAGAAGTATTTGATTTGAGTGTGAACATTTCACATTTAATGCGCTACTTCCGTGTGCACAAACATAGCTGACGGCAATATTGACTCTTGAAGTGACACCTGTAGTTCTGTATATTCTCATAAGAAATGTCTGACAGAAAGTCGTTAACACCTGCAGCCTCTAACGTGTCTCTAACCCTTCAGAATAGAGTCAATACTGCATCGTGACCTCATCTGGTATACTGTATGGTGAGGTACTTTACATAAGTGTACAGGAAAGATCAAACACTCTCACAAAAGCTTGCTTAAATCTGATATCTATTGGTAATAAACATTCCAACGTCCATTTTATATAGGAGTAAGTGTGTCAGTTGCCTGAGAACTTGTAATCAGCGACTGACACACAATATAGCATACTTGACAAGCTGGAATGGTATTGTTAATGCCTGTCATTCACCTGTTTATTATGATCTGGCTGATAGTGGAGGCCTGATTTACTTTTGTTATTCATAGTTGGGGCCAGAGATAAAATCATATGAGTCCAGAACATGGATAAATACTAATAATTTTTCCACCAGCAAGCCTCAATGTATAACATATGGAGCAGAATTACTTAATCATTATTCACCAAGTTAACCTTATTAGAACTCTGTTAAGTAAAATAGGAAAATTTTTAATGCACGATAATGCAATATTTGTTTTTCAGGTGCAAAATTTCGTTGATATAGCTATTCGCCGTATCCCAGTCATTCCATCTGATGGATGTGGATTCCCTTCCGGTGAGTCAGTTTCACCTGTCCTATTCAGGTCAACTCGTTATCTACCTGTGGGAACCAGGTAAAAGCTTGGAGGTAAAAGGAAAGGGGAGGAAGCTTACATATAACAGGAGCTGATTATTCCTTAACTTAACCATTCAAATCTAAATCAAGATTATTTATTATCTTACTGTCAGTTGTAGCAATTCACATACTTTCCCTTCTGAATGAACTTGGTGACATCTAAGAATGCTAAATGAATTCATTTCTTTGATACATTTGTATTAAGTACAAACCATACCTCTATCACTGACATTAAATCAATAACTGTCATTGCCACTAGGAAGCATGCATACATTTGACATATTCCCTGTCATTGCAAAACATTTATATCTTAGTTTTGACGTTTTGACCATAGTACAACAAATATTTATGGCTTAGAATAACTTATAATCTCTGTGGGCGTTGGGGTAGCCTAGTGGATAAAGCTTTTGCTCTTCACGCCAAAGACCCGGGTTCGATTCCCCACATGGGTACAATGTGTGAAGCCTATTTCTGGTGTAACCCACGGTGATATTGCTGGAATATTGCAAAATTGTCAATCCCAACAGCGTAATGTATCTGGTATTACTAATATTTCAAACTTGTTTATCCCATCGGTGCAAATGAATCAGGTATTTTACATGTATTTCAAATAGTCAATCTCAACAGGGTTGGCAACTAAAATCAAATCAACAAGAGAGTAAGCTGGTGTATGTATCTGGAAACACATAACCAGGACGCTGTGACTGTCCACAAACATGTAGTAATGATTAATGGCGTAGCTTCATGAATGTGAAGCTGTAATTTGTGGAATGTCTACAAATGGAACATGGGAGACAGAATCATTTCAGTCAAGATGAGCAAAAAAAAACAAAGGTTGTAAAACCATAACTGACCTTGTAAAAATAAGACCCATCAATCTTTGCATTATGTCGTGTTTATTAGTAGCATTTGACTGAAATGGAAAACTGGACAAATATCTGGCACCTGATCTTTAATAGGAAAGCTAGTTTCACTTTTGCCGCTGTATGAAAATAGTAATCCACGGTATGATAACTGACAGCTGACAACTGCACTAGTAGTAAACCCACTTTAAGTCTTGATAATTGAAATCAATCAATGCAATAGCAATGAATAAAGTATAACTGAAAAATGCAAAGTTGGCTATTCCCCTCCATATTGCTACTCAAAGGGAGGTAACTCTAATTTTCAGGTGCAATAATCCTTGTAAACCAACCCACATAATTAATTTTTGATTCATAACAAATAGAAACTATTGAAATTATTGATTGTTGTGCATACTAACCACAATATTGTAGTTATTTTTAAATTCCTATAGATATAAACATTCTAAGGGCAGATAACACCAATACATCTATCATTAGCTCAACATAATTATTGTGAGCAGATTTTGTCTCTTGATTTTCATAGTGACCATTTGTGAACTGGGTTTCAAAAGATGAAAGTAAAAACACTCTTATTCAGTTTGAAAATATTCCTGATATTTAAGAAATACAGTTCGCTCTACCACGTATAGTGTAATAAAACACACTTTCGCCTTGAACTATTATAGTTAAAGTACGAGGACGCTTGCATCTAAGATGCCAAATTTATTACTTTCTAAGGATAATTACGATTAATTTAAGGCAGAAAACAAACGACGGTGTCGGGCACCTAAATTAAGAATCCTCGCACAGGGCTAACTGGCGCACTGTTTTATCGATGTGTCTGCCCCCCTACGTTAAGACAAACGTTACCAGAAAAAAACAAATGATAACAGTTTGATGACGGTTTACGTTCGGATTAAATATCTTTTCTGAATTATTTTAATTACATATGTCATTAAGGTAAACAATATGGGGCAATATGAACGTCGCATTTCTACTGAGTAGTCAAACGACATTCCACGATTGCATTGTGGGAATGTAAACATTGCGAACGTTACCGTGTTGCTGAAAACTTGTAAGTCGAATTGACACATTTTAACCATCGTAAAACATAAACGTAATGTTTCCACCAGTGATGTTAGCTGTGTGAAGCAACTGCAAACCAAGAAACAGGATGCAACTGAGTAGTTTACTGTAGGAGGCCGTATGAGGCAATGACAACTGACATGCATCGTGACGTCGCTTACATTGTGACGTAATGTAAAATGGTCAGATTACGAGGGGGCACACTAGAATGGCGCAGTGACAGGATAACGTCATTCAATTGTTACGTCATCAAAAAACTATACCTTTATTGTCTGATAATGTATTTTTTTTCCGATTGTTCTAACCGCTAGGCATCTAAGAATTGTTTTTCAAAAGACAATTATCAATGCTGTTGTTAACCAGAAATTTACAGAAACAAGTTTAGTCATGTACTACTCCATATTTTGACATTTCCATATTATACAAAACTGATTTCATAATATTTAAACAGAATCACACATCTGATATTCCCTATCAAAAGTAGACCAGCATGTTACAGAATACATCACGTTAAATCTATGTGTTGCTCTTAAACTGCTCCACATTCTCAACACAAGACAGCTCAACTGACATTATTGTCTGTCAAAAAGACCCTGAAGCAAATATATCCAAGAAAGTCCATGCAAGTCTAGAAAATGTGGCAAGTCTAGATTTAACGAAGAAAGTCTCAGGGCTCCTTTTCATTATATTTTATTGTTTTACTATGAACGTTGTTTTCTGTAAAATACGTTCATTTCAGAGACTCGTTGTTAGTGTACTGACATTAGAGATATATTAACTAGCAGGATCAGCATATA